ACAATATTCTATGTTGAGAAGAGATGGTGGCGACATGGACAGGTTCGAGGCGAGAACGCAAGCAATTTAGCTAGCAGAACTAATGCACAAACCCCAGGTTTCTCCAGAACACATGCAGATACCAACTGATCCCCAGATTGAGCACCGACAGGTTGGGCCGGTGCGGCGAGTTTTCGGCTGCAAATCAGCTTCAGTGCACCAGCCGCACTACACTTCCTGGGGTTGAGTCCGTACAATCTGGGGACTAGTCTACACTACAGTCAATCTATGACTAAGAGCTAATGTTTTCTCCAGATCTTGAGAAAGTGGAGGCTACATATGATCTCTATTAGCATCGTGTATCTGAGATATTGATCCCGCAGGAGGAATATAGTTAGGTAATGATTCCTCAAACACCTTTCCAGTTAGCATGTTTAAAATTTGATCACCTTAGCGAGGCCCTCATAACGGATCTCCTTTTTTCAAATGCTGGAACATTTCGTGATCATTAGTCAGATTCATGATCGCCAGCTTGTAAGTACATGGCTCAAAGGCAAGAGATTAAATCACATGACAAGCTCAATATTGTATCGGAAATGGCCGTGGGATGTTGCATGAAAATTTTGTGCAAGAAAAGAATTCTCATCAGACTTCCAACCCTGATAGTGAGTCAATTCGATTGAGAACATATCTCCTGAAATGTCGCGATGGAGTCAACATCAGGTTCGAATAGAGTAGCATCTGATTCGCGCAACGCCAAGGACATCATCCGACAAAGGCCCGGCCCTCACGCTAAACCCAAAGGCATTCAGCCGCCACCGCATTCCCCGACGTTGACACAGCTAAACTGCAGATTTTTCCAGCTAAGAACCGTCGGGACCTGCGCGGGATACATTTCCGTCGTTAATCCCGTAGATAAGCAACGCACTTGTACGTTCGCGTGCAGGCTAGACGCAAAACAGGAGCCGGAGACCCGCTCGTAGCCGTCTCGAAAATTTCAATCATGCTACCGTCACGGTTCAACCTGCGCGCAAATGCAACCAAGTCGCCCCCCATGTGGACCTAGGATGAAAATTTGGACAGTCGACGGGTTTTCCAGAGCGTGGAGTATGCCGACGGCTAACGAGATGGGTCATTGGAGTGGTCCACGATGACTCCACTGTTGGGGTCGTCAATTTTGATTGAAATATTGTCCATGGTCCTGGCTTCTTTGCGCTTCATCCTGATCGAATACATTGCAGCTCTTTCGTTGTTGTCTTTCCATCGTCAAGCCCAAGCGCCGGGTCCACCGCTGACGCATCAACAACATCATGGCATCCGCTGCTGATCAAATAACGCCCAAGATGGACCAGCGGTCGGAGAAGTCGCTTTCTCACTCAGGAAGCGATGTCGAGAAGCAGGCTGCCCCGCCCAAGGAGGAGTTGCAGCGCAAGCTATCCTCCCGACACTTGCAGTTCGTCGCTATCGGTGGAACAGTAGGAACTGGTGTCTTCATCGCCAGTGGAGGCTCAATTGCAACTGCTGGCCCTGCTGGAGCACTCTTGGCCTATGTCTTCGTCGGTACCCTGGTCTACTCCGTCATGCTCAGCTTGGCTGAGATGGCTACCTACCTACCCATCTCCGGTGCATTCACTCAGTACGCTGCTCGATTTGTTGATCCCTCGCTCGGTTTCTCCATGGGATGGATCTACTGGTTTTCTTGGTCAATCACCTATGCGCTCGAGCTCACAGCTGCTGGCCTCATTATCCAATGGTGGAACTCTGACCTCAGCATCGGCATTTTCATCACGATCTTCTGGGTTCCAATCACTGCTGTGAATTTCTTGCCAGTCGACATCTTCGGAGAGTTCGAGTTTTGGTTTGCCCTGATCAAAGTCGTCGCCCTTGTTGGATTCTGGATTTACGCCATCTGCATGAACGCTGGTGTTGGCGCCCAAGGCTACATTGGCTTCAAGTACTGGAACTCACCTGGCGCTTTCGCCCCGTACATTGCTGAGGGTCCTGTCGCGAAGTTTGTTGGTTTCTGGGCTGTTCTTATCCAAGCTGGTTTTGCCTACCAAGGTACCGAGCTCTGCGCCATCGGTGCGGGCGAGTCAGCCAACCCACGTGTGACCATGCCCAAGGCCATCCGCAAGACTTTCTGGAGCATCTTCATCCTCTTCGTCTTCACCATCTTCTTTGTCGGTATCTTGATCCCCTACGACAATGAATCCCTCCAAATCGGCGACACCAACGCTGGATCCTCGCCAATGGTCATCGCCTTCCAACTCGCTGGTGTATCCGCTCTTCCCGACATCTTCAATGCCGTTTTGCTCACTGTCGTTCTTTCCGCCGCCAGCTCTAACGTTTACTCTGGAAGCCGTATTCTCGTTGGCCTTGCAGAGGAAAAGTGTGCTCCCGCATTCCTCAAGACTGCCAGCAAGCGTGGAGTTCCATACTGGGCAACCTCCGTAACCGCCGCCATGGGTCTGCTAGCCTACATGAACCTCAGCTCCAACGGCGAGCAAGCCTTCAACTGGCTCTTGAACATTGTCTCCGTCGCTGGTTTTATTGCCTGGACATGTGTCTTGATCTGCCACCTTGCCTTCATGCGTGCGCTCAAGGCTCAGAACATCGACCGCGACACCCTTCCATTCAAGTCTTGGGGAGGTCGCCCTCTCGCCCTCTACGGTGTTACCTTCTGTGCCATCATAACCATCACCCAAGGTTTCACCGCATTCGTTCCCTGGAGTACCGAGGATTTCTTCATCGCATACATCAGTTTAATCCTCTTCGCTGTCCTCTACACTGGACACAAGCTCGTTACCCGAAGTAAATTCATCAACCCCGCGGAGGCCGACATCCACACTGGAAAGTTTGAGGATGAGATCTCCGAGACCTGGGAAGAGTCCTCTGCCAGTGGATGGAAGAAGATTATGAACAAGTTTCTTTAATTTTTCAGATGTCTCTGTATAATCTAAATGTTGGGCTTGAGTAACAAAAAGTGCTTTTTGGGAGCGTTTATCGAGGACCGCATGGCGCAGCGTTAGGTGGCGTACGATTGCATTGCATGGCGTCTATTATTCTTTTTCCTAACTTCGTTGAACCGATACCAATGTTAATGTTTTGAAAGTCTTCACAACACGTTCTTTATCTCGCCTGACTCATGTGCCTACAAGAGTGAAAAGTTACTATTGCTGTATCATACTAAGCATTGAACTTACAAAGCACTTTATAATCTCAGGAGAAAGACATTCGATAGCAAACAGGGGATCATGTCACAAAAGCCTGATGGTACATCACGACTTTGAAGCGCCACCTCCTGCCTCAGCCTCCTTCCCGTTTCGCCAGTTGAACAGCCACCACAGCACAGCTATGCACCGCCACACGATGAGGCTCAGCCGTCTCGGTACCGAAAAATCTCTTCACAAACACCAGGTTGGCTTGGGATGAGCGAAGCACAATCACTGCACAACCTGCCGCCCATGGCAAGAAACTCATGGCTTCAACGTAACGTGAATTACACAACGGGATCACTGACATCCCTCTCGCCATGAAGCAGCACGATCGCAGAAACGAAATACATTACACCGCTTTTATCGTGCATAGCTACTAAGAACAATCCACCAAAACACTGGGGGTATCATGGAAAAACATTCATCATCAACCACCCACCTATTCATCTACAATGATATCAAAAGCAAAAGAACCACACACCCGTTCCGCATAAAACAATCAAATCCTTCCATCCCACGCCCCCCCCCCTTCCCCCCTTTCCCCTTCCCAAAAACTGTCATCCACCCCAGCCTCCTCCATTTCCTTCCCCAACTCACCCCCACAGCCGCACAACCTCGAGCACACCGAACCCCACAATGCCGACTTGTATTGCGCCCATCGATGGCACAAAGTTCATCATAGCGGCGCTCTCGGTGTCGGTATCGTTGTCAGAGCTCGCAAATCCTCCTTTGGGCTTCTTAGCCTTTTTGCTCTTCTTGCTCTTTTTCTTCTTGTTGTTGTTGCTGCTGCTGCGGGCGGCGAGGTGCGAGTGCGCGTCGGTGTAGGCGTGGGCGGCGCGGGCGGTGAGTGCTTCGTTGCATTGTTCGATTGATGCGCCGGTGAAGGGGGAGGAGGGGGTTGCTGTTGCGAGAGTGGCGAGGAAGAGGGTTGGTAGTATGAATTTCATCTTTGATAAGATGTGGGTTTTTGTTGTTGTTGTTGTTGGTTTTTGACAGAGAAAGATTGAGGTGTAGGAGCGTTGTACACACACGGGTGCGTGTCTTTATTAATGGTAAGAAGGATTTTTGACTAAATGGCTTGGTATGAATGCCGTTGGTGGCTTCAATAGGGACGGACTGGTTGGTTGGCGGGAAGAAATACTGAGTCGCACAATATTATATAGTCCTACCCATCCCACGATGCAAATTGCACGGCTCTTTTACCCAAGTTGAGCTGTACACATCCTTTACAACACGACCCTTCTACACTGCCTGATACGTCGTGATTGCCATTGAACAGCACAGCCTGCTTAAGGCCTGCCACGACACACATGATATTATACCGGCGGTCTGTAACTTGATAGGATTCAGACCAATCAGAGATAAGGTGAGCCATCACTGCAAGCCATGGAATTTAGGCTTACAGCTTGGCTTCCTTAGCGTGTCAGCTGAATAGGTTAACGATCCTACGTCGGAGTGTTAAAAACATGTTTTGCCAAGCTTCTAGACTAGCAGTTCAGCTGAGAACTCATAGTTGCATTTCCTGTAAATGCTTAGTGCATCATCAATGAACCTTGCTGGGGAACGACTTGTGTGGGCCGAACGCACGACCAATCCTCAGTGTGAAGCAGGATTGCCGAGATTGGAACTGTCGCGGACTGGATGATGGACGGCAATGTTGTTCGCATTTACGAAACACTATCCGCGTCCAGCTACAAAGAGGTTGCTTTCTAAAGATTGGTGAAACTTTTAACCAGACGGCGTAAGGTGCCCAGTTGTGCCCTTCTGCATAATGAACGAGCCATGTTTTATTGCTGAGCACGGCCCTTACGAACGCGACGACCCATACGATACTGTGACCTTTTGCTTATCATCTGCATCCATTGGCACTCTGTCTCCGGAGGGGGGTATACTGGAGAGGCGGATTTGCCGAGTTCGGGCTCGCGATGATGGAGAAGTGATACCTCGCATTGCTGCAGGGAAGAGTTGTCGCGCCAAGGGTCGGATAGCTGGAATGCTGACCGATATGATTCCAAGACTGCATTCACTCACGCTCATTATGAGACATGGCACGCTCTTATCTGCAGACCTCAGTCAGCCACTTCTCTCTCGCTGTCAATCTGACCAACTGTTTCTTGATCTGTGCTGACGTGGATCTTTCAAATGAAGACATCGAGAAACATCGTTGGTGCTTTGGCAAACGCCATAATGATATGCGTAATGAAAAAGGCCTTCTTACAAGTGATGTCCAGAGCATGCAGACTGTGCAGAAAGCAAATGCGAATAATTCCTACTATGCAGGCACTAATCATACTCAGCACATGTTGAATTTGGGATCGTGGGACTGCATACCTTGCACCTCCTCCTAATAGCATACAAAGGATGATGCGTTGCTTTCGCGACATGTCCAATCTCCAAAAGTAAGGCAAAGGAAGTACACAAAGGGCAATATCGGTGATTATGTTCACCGCCGAACTCGCGTACAAATAGGCGACATAGTCGATACACTTGCGTTCGACCATAAATTCCCAAGCTCCATAGTATGGGAGACATTGAAAAAAGGTAACGAAGACACCTACGCACAGAAGAGTCAGCAGTGATAGGTTAGGGTGGTGATTAATGCGCTTTACCTGTAATCCACAAGCCCACAACGGGAAACATTGTCACGTACATCCACGTGTGGAATTTTTGGTCCGGGACAAAACGAAAATAGGAGGATATGATGGCGAGTTTTGTCAACGCGATTGCACAGGCGTATAATATCTGGCAAACGTAAAGATCCTGCTCCTTATTAGTGTCATCGAGTCACATGGATACTCTCTTTACGAAGTACTCTGCTGAAGGAGAAAGGTTCACATACCAAGATAATACTCTTCAACTTCTCGAGGACGTCTAGTAGAGGAAGGACCCAAATATGTTGACCAAGCCCGTGAGTGGTGCCTGCTGCGGTGTTACTAACTATCGTTCTGCTCCAAAGGGACCCACCCCACTTACCCACGATGCATGCCACTGCCAGAGCTACCGTAAATAACGCAGCAAATATGATGAGGACTACATTGCATTAGCGAACTAAATAAAGCATTATCGTGTACGTACCATCATCAAAGAATATTTTGTGGACGTATTTGAGTCGTGCAACTATGCGTAGAGCAACAGTTAAGAGTACAAGGACAATGATCATGGTACATGATATCTTGACAAGGGGAACGTTGGAGGAATGGTCCGCGAAATTGAACTGGCTGATGTCGAACTGGTAATTACCAAAGAGGGAAGTGCCATTACCGAGCGGACTTGACATTGTGTGAGGGCTCTGAACTGACTCTGGTCGAAAATGTAGGTAGAGTCAAGGTGGATCCTACATTGATATCAGTGTGCCTACAAATAGACCAGGCCAGGGCAGGCTCAGGGGAGCGTTTGGCATAAAGGTACAGAGGTGGGTTATCTTGGGTCAGTGCGTACGTAGTGGACGTCACATCTAGCTGGATTCCTAGGTCGTTCGCCTATCACCAATAGCGGCATTCAGGGTTTAGTGTCCTCGATGTTCTACCAAAATGATCGACGACGAAAACAATGACTCGCATGTACGACCAATTGTGTGATGGCGGAAGTGACAAGAGAATAGCCTCTGCAAGTTTCGAATGTGGGTATACGTCTGGTCCGGACGGCTAGATATATGCAAGCGCGGCATGGGAAAGTTAATTATCCCCAGATTCCCCTGAGATGACCGACCCAGCAGTAGACTCATAATCTAAAAGCCCACAAGCCCGTCTGTTGGGCGAGTGATGGCTGGGTTGCACAAATGAGGTTTCGCAAAGCTGCATCCGTCCAACCTTCGGTGCTCAACAGCATCTATATTAAGATGTTGCAGGACAACGGCACCAGTCATCAAATGAATTGCTTAGCGAACTGGTTGCCGTTTTCGCAACCTGCTCAACACCAGGTCATCTTGCTTGGCAACAGAAAGTCTTTCCAGAACATGTTCATCTGTTTTGTTTGTGCAGAATGGCAGCCGCACCAGCTTTCACAGAAACACGGAGACATGGCTGCAGGAGTAAGAGGCGCTTGTGGGCACCGGCTTATTGTTTCTTTTGTTAGTGCAAGTGATAGTTTCCGGTACGCCAGAGTTTGTCCATGTCGACGGTTCGTCGGAAACAACGGCGACTGGCGACTGACGCCTGCAAGGGTAGCCGTGCATCTCAACGATGATTGAAACAAGAGAGCGACGGCGTTGGCGGACAGAGCGAAGTGAGATGTGAGGTATGTGTGGGGGTGTATTTGTGTGGCTGGAGAAGGCCTCAGGACGAAAGCGGAAGAGTCAGCTTCCCATCGCCTTCCGATCCCAGATTCGGGGCAAGCGTCCCGCCGAGCCGGCCTCTTCCATCTGTCAAATACCAACTGGTGCTCCGCGCTGAACACATACAAATCCTCCCAACTAAGTACTACACTACATGCAAGCACCACATACTAATTGCCCGGTATGTGTATCGGCATCTTTCAGGTCTAAGTAAAGTAAAGTCGATCTTCACAACTTCGGTCGCGACACATCACGCGGAGTTCCTATTCACTCGAGCACAACTCCAACACACGTACATGCTTTGGCGCCTCCAATTGCCGTGAAGCTGACACGCGCCTCTTGGTACAAGTATTACTTGACAAACGTTGATCTGGACGTCATGGTCGATCCGCCTTCTCCGCAAGCAGACCAAGAGCAAGCGAAAATAGCGCCGAGCCGTTGTCTGTCACGATACTCGCACTCGCAAACGGCAGAGGATCATCGCGGGCTTATCTGTCCTGTCGCTGGCAACTTACGTAGTAATAGCAGCAGTCTGATCCCGACAACTCAGATGTGAACATCATCGCCCCCTATGCTCTATCTCTGACGACTGGTTACTCGCTGCTGGTTGCTGCCCATTCTTGGCTTCCCTACCATCTCGCCGCGAAGCCCCGGCCGCCGCGTAACCCCTCAGTACTATCCCAGGCTCTTGAGCTACCCATTCGGAGCCACTCCGGTATGGTTCCGCATTCTCACAGGTACTCTTGCTGAGCACTCGGGCGCCAAGATGGAGTGATTCGAAATCTTGCTGAGGAGAAGGTGGCTATGTCCATGACAAGACACGCTACAAGTGCCGGATCCAATTGAGCGATGAGCGCCACGCCGATGCCTATGCTTGCGCACCAGGATTACTGGGTACACTTCACCAGGCTGTACACCGCGCCCTGGACAATTCCGCCGTGAGTGTTCAGAAGTGGGGTAACTCCAAGGTAATCTTGCTTTTTTAGACAGGTCGATAAAGGTCGGGGCTCCCTTGACTACTAATCTTGATGCAAACAGCAAGATCGTCACATGACGGCACGTAGCAATCTTTTACATTGATATACCATCTATCTGCAGGATTAGCTTGTCCTCAACGCTTTCCCCATCTCACAACCATAATCTCTGCCGCCATGGCCAATTTCGCGCACCGTGTTTCGTATGTTGTGAGAGACAAGGACGATGATGACGACCCGAAGCCAGGACCACCGCCACCCAAAGAAACAAACTCTGCTCAAGCCGCCTCTGGCGCTCTTCCCACCGCGACCGAATCCTTGGCCAGTACTGCTCCATCATCGACATCCACAACATTGCCAACGCCACCAAGACCAGGAACATCAGAAACTTCAGGAACCTCAGGAACATCGGGATACTCAGAAGGATCGGGGTCATCAGGGGATAGTTTCGGCCCGGCAGAAAGTGCAGGAATCGGTGTCGGAGTCGCCCTTGCACTACTCGTCCTAGCCCTAGGAGCATGGTTCTTTATACGCCGCAGACGAAAGCGTAGAATGAGCAAAGCCTCGCTCGGCTCATCGACACCTGACGCTGAAGCCGGCCTCGCAAACAAAGAATATGGCACACCCAGCATAAAAGAGATGGAAGCCGGAAGACGAGCGTCTGAGCTGGCTGCTCACATGGCCCCAGTCGAAGTTCCAGGCGACCCAGAGTTTGTGGCCGAGCTAGAAGGCTCAGATGCTGCTATCGGGGCGGTCAAAGAGAAGCAAGATCGCGAGCGTCTCTTTGCTGATGCGCCGCTGGATGAACCGGGTGACCGTGATGAGTTTGGGTTCAGCAGAAATAACAGTAGGAGGAGCGATGTCAAGAGCGGCATCGATTTCAAAGGCTCCGACGTCAAGAAATTTGACTCCTAGCGAGGAAGGGGGGGGGGCGCAACTGCCACTGAATTTTCCCCCATAATCCGTACGTAGATTGCGAACGGCTTACGAATATACATGTAACGAATTTCTCTTGTTTCCCTCCAGCTTTCCAGGTCCCCCGAGAGCTTTCTACTTTTTCCAAGTCCAGAAGAGAGGGTGGTGGAGAGCAAAACCGGATTTGAAACGGGCGTTTCTTTTCTGGATACTCTTTCTACTAGCTCAACATACGTTACATGCGTCGTATTTACTTTGCATGATTGAGAGATGGTTTTGTCTGTCTCGGCCTTCATGGGGGAGCACGCTTCAAGGCACGTGGCCGGCTGGAAAGTGGGCGGTTACAGGCGGCGATATCGGCGAGGCACCTCGCGAAGAGAGATCCCACGACGAGCGCAGCAACGGAGACACATCGCCGCGAGTGGTGCCTGGCGGCGATACCATCAACAGTGGTACACTCCACCGCGTCAATTCGTTATTCGGCTGTGCGGGGTCGGCTTCAGATACCGTGTTCCAGTCTTTCCACTGCTTCAGTCTTTGCACGTACAGCTCTTCTGCTTCTTCTGGCGCATTCTGGGGTTTTCCAATCCCATCTACCTCTTGCGGACGAGTATCGCCATGGAGCTCGGGTGTTTGTCCTGCGTCGAGCTCATAGATAATATGAGCGTCGACTTCGACGGGTGGTGGTGGAGGTGGTAACGTTGCTGCAGACAGGACGGGTGGGGGCGCATGCGGCCACCAAGTCTTCTCTTGTTGCGTTTCGACACCTCCTGCTTCTGGTATCTGATGCTGCAATCCCTGGGCAAGAATGCGGTTCCGTCGTCTGATGGCCAGGAAAGCGAGGATGGCGATGAGGACGACTGATACAGAGCACGCTACACCAATGGCAATGCCGCGCTTGATGCCAGGAAGCGCTGATTCGCCTTCCTCAAGCTGTTCCGCTCTAATTGACCGCGATTGCGTAGGTTGTAGCGTATGCGATAGGATTGGGAGCGTGACCATTGTTCAGAGAATGTTTGATTCGATAATTTTGTAACAACAGTAGAACAGGATCAGATGCGACAAGCTAGAAGGAATATGATATGCATCTTTTGTTCAAGGCAGCTAGCTAATCGAAAGACTTGCCGTAACAACATTGGGCAGGTGGCTGCGGCGCAGCTGTGTGAATCTGGACAATATGCTGCAATCACGGCCCTTGTCGCCCGAACCATGCGGGAGGTGGGCTCTGGCGGTTACAGCAGAGATGGAGGGGGCGGAAATGCGCTCCTCTGAGCCAACCAAGTGTCCCCACACAAGGCAGTGCTGCATGCTTGACACCCCAAATTCAGCCTGCGCGACGGCGTTGCGACAATCTCCAGGTGGTTGGGGAGTCAAAGAAACCATCGTGGTGCAAAGAGGTAAAAGGCCGAAATACCATGGAAGGGGCGAGGCGGTGCAGTGGCTACGGCATTGTCATGTTGCGATGCAAATAGAATCATAGTATCCCCAGATCGTGACCAGGGGCATCTTGTATCGACCCCATATTAACATTGCCGCATATCTCGGGTTAGGCGTTCTTCACCCACACATCCCGAATTTGACATCATGTTCCCGTCGTTTGGGGAGCCGCTGGACCCACAGTCATTTAATTTTCCGTGCTTTCTTGACTATTAGCCTGTGGCGGGCCTGCAATGTGTATCAGCCTCGCTGTTCGCCTAGTACATCCAAACCAAGGTCTAGTCCGGAGTGTGGAGCAATCGTTGTGTTATCCACCCGTCACCTGCATGCACAAACTATCGGATAAAGCTCACCGCAAGCTTTAGCGACAATGCGTCGTCGGTAGCTTGGAATATGCTTAATGCTGTCATGTCGCGCCTGTATAAAGTGAGCACAGTCTCTTTTAGAAAAGTTGTAGTGACAGGCGGTCAATGGGATTCGACTCAGAGTTCGCTTGAACATATTGAAAAAGGATGTTGCATCGGTACAGTTGCTGTATGGTTTTCGTTGTTATCTAGTCGTCTCACAGCAGCACATCAATAACCTTTCCCTTGGTGTACCGCTTCTCCACCGCCATACCACAGAGTGCCCGTGCCACAGTGCAGTCCCTTCTCCTGTCCCAAATTGAACTCTCCTCCG